ACCGCTATTATTAGGAAAAAAGTTAATAACTTTTAGTCTCGTAGGTTTATGAATTACATACATAGTAGTTGACTAGTTGTATACGAGCGGTTCCTTAGAATAATATTATTCGTACACAAAACGAGAAGTGTATTATAATGGTTTAGACCTCAATGCTAGTTAGAATGTAGCCAAGACGTATAACTCACATACGGGGCGCACAATTATTATGAAGAGTGGGTGTTTATATATCTTATGGTAATTCGTTTTATTCTTGGCACCCAACGCAACACAAAGCGTATGCGTGAATTTTCAGAAGTTAGTTTTCATTTTTTGTATTTTTTGTCAGTACTGTAAGGTTAGTAGTAAAAAAGTATGATATAGACTCGGCGGATAAAGTTGAAATAATAATAATAATGAAGACTAAAAATAGTTTTGAATTAACAATACGCTTCTCTGAAATTGTTTATTTTGGTTTCATCAAAAACGATTATTTTATAAGTAAAGTTTTGGATCTTAATATCAGTTTTGAAATTTACTCAAGTTAACTTATATTGCTGAAAAATATTTTTAAAAAACACAAGGAAAAAATTAGGTTAAAATAATAGGGATTTTATCCATTCCGCTAGAAATTTGTTTTTCGATAAAGAAAAGAATACATCCTATCGAATCCGACACTGACCAATTTATACACTTGGTCGTGGTTAATTCTTAAATATATCTCAACTTAGTTAAAAAAAATAATTTTTATTTGATTTAATTATCAAAATAAAATATATTTCTTTTTAAATATTGTATGCTGTAGATAATTATTGAATAAATTGTTCATTTCTATGTAAGTTGCTCAGTAATGAGTAAATAATGAAATTCAAGAATAAATTGCAAAAATAAACAAAATCAGATCAACATAGTCATTTTTTATTCTTCTATAAAAATATTTTTTTTATAATAAACATATTATATTAATTATTATCCTTCATTCTTTCCCAGGATAATTTCCGGAATGATCGAAATTGTCATCCTTATCTATATACTGTCTGTCATCTGATAAATATGCCTCTGTCGAAAAATTATTGGTTTTTTGAGTGTTATCTAATATAACAGTTTTTCCGGTAAATTGATAATTTGATTTGATTTTATGCTCTTTGTCGGGTCATTTTTATTTTGTTAAAAAAATAGTCTTAGTTCTTGATGCTGCCAGCCAAAATATGTTGTCTTGATTTACCACTGGAATAATAATTTTGATTTTGAATGCTTCTATTTAATATTAGTACTAATACTGTAATAATAGGTAGTAAGTTTATTTATCTTAATCAGTTGACTCATTCTTTGTTTTATTAATTCATAGGATTTAATATTTTTTATGTAATTTTATAGTTTTTTAGTGCATTTTTGAAATATTTTTAAGTCATCTCTAATAAGTCTTACCCTTATATTGGACCCACCAATTAAATGTTGTAGAAAAAAACGTATTTTGATATCACGCCTATATACTATAGCAATCAATACAGGTATTTTTTATTTATATAAAAATATATAATTTACTTCTTCTTTTACTTATCGGTGCTGGACTTAATAAATATTAATTACATTAAAAATAAAAATAAATAATATGAATATACCTAAATATAAATATACATTATACCTAGATAGTCTTAAAAAGTAAAATATACATTTGCTAAATATTTTGCTTCAGCCAGTGGGTGCATGGCTATTGATATAGCATTTTCATTATATATTCAATACCTATATATTTTGCTTATATAATAAATATATATAATTATTTGTTTAAATAATCATACTACACCTCTAATAAACAAGACACAAAAAAACCCTAGGTACGAGACTTATTCATCAAATTACAACTAACGATAGACATCCACGACCTCAGTTGTAAACACTTAGCATTACGTTCTAAGATCTTCCCACCTGGAAATGTTAACTACAACTTACAGAACTTCTTAATTTCAATAAAAATGAAACAAATCATGTCATAATTTCTTCTCAGTTTCAAAACACAATTCAGCACACATTCCCTAATCACACCAAAATATATACAGATACATCTAAATCTGAACATGTGGTAGGCTTTGCAGTAGTCAAAGACGACACAATTATCCAACACTAGCTTCCGAAAATAACCAGCATTTTGTCTAGAAAAAACTATGTTTAAACTAACTAATTTATGAAGGGGTTAAATTTTCAAATACCTTAGAACCAAACGATATACTAATAATCAGAGAACCCGTAAGTACCATACTATCAAAAATGATCCTCAAAAAATTATATAACCTTTATCAAACATTCAAGCATGCTTAATCCAAACAAAAAAAAACGTTGAATTCCTGTGGGTTCTGTCTCACATTAGTATTGCAGGAAATGAAAAAGCAGACAAATATTCCGATCAGGCAATGAAAACCATTCTTAATCCTAAAACAAACAATGTACCAACCAACGACATAAAAAATTCTATCAATCAAAAAATCCATTTATCTTGGCAAATGTGCCAAAATGTCCAACAAACTCTAAAATATTTAAAAAAAAAAAAAACAATCAACAAATAGAACACTCCTTCCAATTTCAATCGACGCACCAAGGTCCAAGACATCGCAATTACCTGCACCAGAATCGGACTCTCCTTCCCCACCCACTCATATTTAATTAGCAAATAACCCCAGTCCCCAACCAATATGCGACTCATGTCACTGCATTAACCATCGAACATATAGTGGAGGAGTGCACACAATTTTTTTTTTACACGCACCGACCTCAACACGCGCAACCTAACAAAGCAGAAGCGCTCGACGAAAGCCAAACCGCGAAAATCGTAGCATTATTAATTATTATACCTTTATAACTAGTATATTATAATATAATGTAACACCTATTCTTTAGAAAGAAAATACCATGTACAATCTAATGTCAGGCTAATAACCTCCGTTGTCGAAGCCAAATTTTCTTTCAAATAAAAAAAAATAAATAAATATATAGATTTATTCATTATTGAATTGGAACCATCAACATTTATTTCGTAAATCAAACATCCAAAAAAAAGATATTAAATAATTATACAGTCCTACAACAGTATTGGGAGACCTTTGCCTGATTTATTTCTATCAATCTATATGGTTGGATAAAAGATAATTATCGGTGTATTCCATAATCGCATCGAGTTTAATACATGACTAAACAAATTGACACTTTTTCCCTTTCGAAGTATGCTGATTACACACGGAGCTGTACGGTGTACCACGCGTAGGGTCGTTGTTTTTATCCCCAAAGGATGGATTAACCGTCTACGATTTATTAATCATGGCCAATGGATATGGTTCAAAAGGCATAATATTCTAATTCACAAAATCGAGAGTGATTAATTTCTGAAAAGATGAAAATATTTTACTCGGTAAGAAATTCTTATACGAAAATTGTGCTGCTGAGTAAAGCAGTTGGCAGTGTATATAGCTTAAACAAGATCTAAATAGACGAAAAAATTATTCTAAAAAATTGGATAGTGCTACATCAAAAATGTCTAATAAAATTACCACCAAAATATTTTATCGGACATTTTTGTCTACCTAGTAGTAAAATATGTAGTTTCCGTCGTTATTTGAGCACTCCCCAAATAATTTATTTTTGCTAACAAATTTTAACAAATCAAATTTGGCATTTTAATTTGAACGAAAAATTCGCCAATAAAATTTGTTACACCATAATATTTTCGAAGGTTGAGCTTTTGTAAGTTTTGCGTTGCCACTTTTAATTTCTTTAATTTATGACATTTATAGTGAAGTACTCTGAACGTTACACCATTATCAGAAATTCGAATTTCAAGGCTGCAAGCGGATTGAGCAGAAATTTATTACAAAAAGCTGTAAGTTATGAATTCACAGGAATACTACACAAAGGTATACTAAATGCTTTCACAAAATATTGTGTAGGTAGGTATTTAACATTTTTTTTGTGAGGGGCTAAACTGCTAGAGGGTAACATTCATGTTTTTAGCACACATGAATACGTCTTATTTCACAGTTCGCGCCAATATTTACCAATTACTATTTTAAATTTTTTCATTAAGTTTTAAAATTATGCTTTGATATGGCGCCAAATAAAACTACTTATTCGCGTGTAACCAGTTTATCTGTTTTTGTAGTAAATTATGTGTACGTAAACAATCGTAGGTTGTTGACGAGCTATCGCGATATGCCCCGATATCGGTTATCGCACTACGCATTATTTACGTAATGCTAAGCTTACTGCAAAATAGTATGGAAAATCAAGACCAAGAAAAAAGTTCAATGAAACGGAAATAAAAAGCGATGGGAAATTTACCTAATTACCTAATATTATATGAGCCAATTTAACGACCGAGCACACTATTTCCGGTTCGATCCCTGCATATCGTTGTGCTATAGAGAACATAACATTATATTGTTATCATCGAGGTAATAATATTAAGATTCAATACCTATCTGTAGACGTAATTTTTTTTTTTTTTAATTTCATAATACACAATCCAATGATATTATGTCAATATGGCGAGATAACAATGCATTGATATTTAATAATATCATAATCGCGAGACTGATCGGCGCTATTTGTGCGCGTGCGCGAGACCGCGTACAAGCAGCCACCGCCACGCCGGGCTTCAATGACGCGTATAAAAACGGTCGGCCGGCAGTCATCGTGTCGTAGTCGTTCAGAAACGCGTCGGGCCCGGTGTTTGTAGTAGTCGTCGAGTGTGCGCTCGTCGTACTTAAAATAATATTATTGTTGTATAGTCGTTGTCGTCGTCGAGCGCTTCCGATTTCCTACACCGTGTCTGCCCGAAAGCTCGTCGAACGTCGTCTCTGTCCGGTTTTTTTTTTTTTTTTTTTTCCAATTATCTTTGTCCGGTGAATCGAATAAAAAATTTTGATTTTGATATTTTGATCCGATCGAAGTTTTTCTCTTACCCCCTCCCCCCCTCATCAAAGACGTCCATTTTCGAATTGTCGCGTGTCGCATCCGTCATATACGCGTACATGTATGCGAAGACTCAGAATTTCGGAACGCCTCAAGCGGCCACGGGCATGCCGTCGCAGCCACAACTCATACGTCCCGGAGGATTGTTCGCTCACAAAAAGGTTGGTGCCCAATCACGATTTTTATTCCAAATTATTACGATTTTTTACCGTTCAAAATATAATTATTTGATCTATAAAAATATATACGTTTTTTAAATATAATAAATCATGGTTTTTGATCCTAAACTACTACGACCATTTAGACCAAAAATGTAACGACTATATTGTGTCAAAAGACGTAACGAATTTGTTATACCAATACCATATAACTTAAATATAAATATAAAATACGATTTTCACCATTAAAATGTTACTAGGTATTTTAAAAAACCTAAAAAAAAAAATTGATTTTTCAAATGTTTAGGTATACCTATATTATGTATGCATGGCTAGTCAATTCCGCACCATAGTGCATGACAAATCCATCTTTTAGTTATTAATTATTATTTTTTCGTCCTTAAGTGTCATTTTAACGACTATTTGAATTTTGAGTAGGAAAAAATAATAGAGACGAATTACCGACGCAGAAATTTTAACCAGTCAAGCGGATTTAAATAATAATTAGTTGTGTGTTTTGCTTGAATGTTAGAGGTAGACCAATACTAATTGAAGTGAATACTTCTTATCGACCGATGTTTACGCTGATTTTTAATGGTTTGATAACCTTTCTCTCCCGATTGTACCTGTGCGTTTTAACTACACCGATCTTTAATCGTTCACATTTCACTGAATTTGAACACGAACAGGTCTGGACATGTTTTTGGGTAATTCCTGAGGGTAGATGACGTATGAGCACTGCTCGACTATGCCCCACGTTGGTGTTTTCGGTACCTATAAAATATTATAGTAGGTCGGTACGTAATAATGTTATGGTGATTTCCACGTGAAATGTGAACGGATCAACGAATACAGAACGGTTTTAATTCGCGATAGTTACAACTGGTCTTTGGTTAGGTTGTCTTCGTCTGTCGATCGTGGCATAATTATTGTTGCAGGTCGGTGTCGTTATAATTATTATTGTAGTTGTTGTTACCTATATAATTATATATTAATATCCGCTCCGTCGTTCGGAATCCGACGAATTTTATTCCGGCCGCATTACACTTTGCGGAACGCGGCGTGTCTCGTGTGTCAGACGACCTTGTGAATTATTCAGACACAATAATAACGTAATGCACTCGTAGGTAATCTCGCACGTCGCGTTTCGTTCCATTTAGTAGAAATGCGTGCAAAGCTTATAGATGATGAGCCCGGGTGTACTCGAATAGTATTGCTCGGTGAATCACGCCAGGCGGCGGCGGAGACAAAGAAAAACAGTAAAAATTCTTCGCTTAAACGACACGCTTACAACAGCTGTTGCGCACTCGTTTATTTTAATTTCCGAGCGCACAGCGAATGAGAGCTATAACAATGTACGTTTCGTGTAATGGATATTATTTTTAATTTTTTTCAAGTAGTAAGAATAGGTGACTGCGCCTTCTTAATAATCAGGAAACTAGTTAGGTGGTTGCTTTTCCATATAGTTTCATTAATTGGGCATTTTCTGGGATTCACGAAAAAAAAAACGATACTTAAAAAATCTTGATGGCCTTAACATTACGATCAGTATTGGGTAAATTGTATAATCTATATTTTGATCTTTAAAGTCGTTTTACATACAAATGCAATGATTTGTTGCATCGCTCTCTCGAATTATTATCGTCACATCTCTAGACCTAGTAACCTAACTCTGGATTCAACTACACTGGCTTTTGAAAATCATAACCGCAAGTAAAATTATTATATAATTTACTAATATTATTACTTGCATGATGATTTGCTTCAAATAACAGATGTTGTCTGCTGGCAAAAAAATTGGGATAATTTATCAGATTTATATATACATACATAGTATTATTATATCCCCGATTATATCCGTATAAGAGTAGGTATATCTAATATTATATTGAAAAATATTCATATTATGACCAAAATCATATAAGAATAAAATAATGAAAAAAATATTTAGGACAATCTTGTAAGTAGAGGAACCTAAATAAAAATATGTTGCAAACGATTGGCGGCGATTACACTTCCACCTATATAGATCAATAGATCCACCTCCACCGTCAACGGCGCATATGTCACGACCTCTTTTGCCGCTTATACGTCGTCGTCGTATACCTGTCGTCGTGTTGAATAAATTCCTGACGATCATCGGATGAGAATCCTTGAGATTCCGAAGTCGGTGGCGGCGGCAATAGTGACGTTTCGGGCAGATTGCCCGCGCAGGCACACACACACACACACACACACACACACACACACACTCATCCCCACTCGGCCGGTGCATGCCGAGACCGGCGACGAAAGTCTCCGAGAAAACAAAACACGCATACACAAACAAACATATACACAGTTGGCTGTGGCAGAAAACGTTATTATAATTACACAGACTTCTTCGTATGTTGTGTGTGCCAATCGAGTAGAGAAAAACTATTTCGGCTGTATATATTTATTATTGCAGTATGTGATATATATTATTCGAGTTCGGAAAACGAGTGGAAAAAAAAAACCAAACGATCGACTCGATTACACAATACTATTTTATACACGTCCTATAATTTATACATACACATGGTCAAACCTTACACCCTATATTATGTGCCCCGTGTATCTTTAATCGCTATATATAACATGCGATTTGACTTACCTGCGTGGCTGAATACGTCTTATAACCCCATTAATGCTCAGTGAACACAGACCGGGCTGATTTGAATTTTTCGTGGGCGGATGCAAAATGCTATATTCATGTATGTGTACACCTATATAATACTATAGAGAGGTATATAGTATATGCGTATAACATAATTACGTGTGTGTGTGTGCATGTGCATATAGTGCAGTCTTCTTTGTGCTTTGCTCGCCAGTTTCTCACTCTACACCTCGAGTCTCGACCACGCCGGCCCGAGAGTAATGCTTAACATATACATACACTCCGAGTTTATAAGACACAATTGCATTATACATATTATCGTAAATTATTAATCGTTTTAAACTTTAGCTCAATATATAATATTAATAATATTATATACCTATATATAGGTATATAATCATAATATTACATATGCAAATGGAAACACGATACCATTTCCGTCTGTCGTACCGTAACGAGCAGCAATTCTTGATATATAATTATTATTAATAATAATAATAATGTATATGACATATTATGTATTATGTATACTTTAAAGCCATATAGAGGTAGGCACTGTGATTGTTTTCGCGCATAATATAATTTTACCATTAATTATGACTGCAGCAGCTGCCGCGTCAATAAATATAATATTATATATATATATATATATTATATTATATATACGTATGTAATATTAATATTTGTTTTTATTATGATTCACCGGCTTACCTACATGGAATCGATTTTAATATCGCAGTAGGTTGTCATCTACGTGCTTTTGTTTATAAACGCCATCATTTGTTTCGATATATTATCCAGCCACCTATCGTTAGCATTCAAGATCATTTTTAATAATGGCTTATATCGATCGTATATTATGGATAGTTATAAATTATAATTAATATTGAATACGAATTACGATTGATTATTTAAAGCTACCTATATATTAATGCTATGCTATACTATACTATCGAAATCGAGCCCATATTAAAACGTTATCTGCCGTGAAATATAGGTATCGTAAAAAAAAATTTAAAAACATTTGAAAAAAAAATTCATTGATTGGAATTAAAACTTAAAGCAGTAGAGATTTCATAGAACGTCTTTCATCAACATAACATGTATAAAAATACATAGCAAATATATAGGTAGGTAGATAAATAAACACACCCTCGTAATATTGTCATATTAACTGTTTTGTTTAAATGTATTCATTTAAATTGTACATGTAAGCGTTGATTTATCTCTATTAATATTCTTGTTTTGGAAATAAATATATTTTATAATCATGATGCATGATGCACCGGCTATATGCCTATATGTACACAAATGTTACCGATTCTTCCGGTAAGTTTTCTCATATAGTAGGTAGGTGGGTACGAAAATCGCAGGAACACGATTACAAACGATTTCCGGAAATGACGCAACGAACAAGCATGATTTCACATAGATAAGTGAAATATATATAGTGGGCTAGAACTGACGTAGGTACATATTATATTTTAATGAAATATAATAATAATAATAACAATATATGATGACTTTGACAAACAGCTCCGCAAATGCATTTCTACTGCACTGACCAAGAAAAAAAAAAGTCTAAAAAAATACACTTAAATTGTAGGTATAGTACAACACATTATTATAATACAAAATTTTGTCAGTGACTCAGAAAACGGGTACGGGATAAAATGCAATGCACAGCAGTAATAAATAAACGAAACAATAAGCACTTTAGTTGTCGTCTTGTAAACCATATAACAATATTATTGTATATAGACGTACAGTCACGTGGATTTGGCGTCTTTGATTACACGCGCGTGTCCGCGACCTGAGTGTGCAATAAACGCGTATTATAGATTCGATCGATTTCACGCGTGTGAACCAGGTGTAAGGTATAATATAGCAGCAGAGTGAATCGTATTCGCTCCTGGTGCAGCATTACATGGCGGTGTGCACAATTTATTCGCACGGACATACGTCATGTCAGGGTATTAAGTTATAATTATTGTAGGTACGTATTATTATTCAAACTCTACGAATCGCATACAACACATATTATTATATTGTTTGATGTTTTTCGTCATTCTCACTCAAGATTATTTAATAGGTATTTATCATCAATAAACGGATGTTTGAATAAATTCGTAAAAAAATAATTTATATAAAAGTAGATACCTACTACATATACATATTATACATAATATTATACTGTGTGAGTATCGACCACAAAGCGTGTTATTATATTATGTCGTACTTACAATAATAATTCAACACCACCTGTTGTTCTTGCTCTTTAATACGCGTAGAGTGAACTCGAGGATACGTCGAGGGTTCGGGCCACACCGATTAGATCTAAAACACCGGCGCCTACATAGTTTTA